ATAATTCCCTTGAACACTTTTTTTTTAACACATACCACTACTTAATTAAGTTACTAACAACTACTAATCCTTAATCAACATTATCCATTTTCTTAAGCTCTATATAAGATCATCAATTGGTACCCAAGCAGAAGCAAACACAACACTATGTCCCTTCCACGTCAGCACAAAACTTTCCACGTCATCATCGTCATCAACCTCTCTCTTCATTCCCCATCCCGCCGCGTGTTCCTCCAGCATCGTTTTAACCTCCGTCGCCGCCGTCTCTCCGAACCCAACTCCGGCGAACTTAGCTTCTCTCATCCTCTCGAACCACCTGCTCTTCGGCTCTAACCTCTCGACTCTCTCCGAATCTTCCTTGGCCACTACGTTATCGATTTTCCAACCTATATCCGCCTCGTACCACCGCCTTTGCTCGCTGCCACGTGTCAAAAACGTATCGGCTGTGTCGTAAGGGATCCACATGTAGTTGAAGAGAGACTGCAACCTTGAGATAAAGTTATTGGAGGTGAAATATGCGTCTTCGTCGATTAGGGTTACGATCGTAGGGTTAAGATCTCTGAGTTGTTTCAAGAAAACTGATCGTAAGGGATTCGAAGTTAGGGTTTCGTCGGGGATGTAATGGAGCATCATGTGACAGTTGACGACGAGAGCTTCGTTGAAGACGAAAGGGTCGACTCGTAGCTGTTCTATAAGGGAAGAGAGACCGTCAGAGTAAGAAGAAGAGATGATTCTAAACTCCATTGCTATGTTACGTGTGGTTGCGAAGTTTACTAGCTTCGACCCGAGTTCTTCGTAGGAGATTCCGAGTAATGGAGGCGGAGGAGATGATTCGGTGTCGGAGAAGACAACGACGGTGAGTTTGAGAAGCGGAGGAGGTTGTTGTTTGTTGAGTTTAGTCGCCATTGAGTCAATTAGAGTAGGGATTTGCATGCAATGAGTCAAACTTAAGTCAACGATGTGAACGGAGGAGTAACCTTCGACGGCGTCTAGAATCGCTGCGTTCGCGGCCATGAATCCGAAACGGTGCCACGGCGTGAGGTCTACAAACGCAGCGAGCTCGATGACCGAGAACCGGTGAAGCGTGACGGGAGCAGCAGCGGCGGAGAGATAAGCAAAAAACGGCGATTTAGCGGCGGCGCGTGATATCAACGCGCGGAGGAATGAGGAAGCTAGTCTTTGTGTGGAGTCACCGTCCGGTGAAGCGAGGTTGTTGAGAACCCAAATGATCTGTTGAGCTAACGTGGCGTCGTTTGATTCGATGGCCTTTGCGCAGTGAAGGAGAAGTTGCTCCATGCGGTTTGCGTCGCCGCATAGAGATTTGGAAGAAGAGAAACCGGGCCAAACGGGTCGGGTAGGGTTAAGAATCATCGCTTTGTTCATAAGAGAAGGGAACATAAAGAATGTAGAAGGAAGAAGATGAAGGCAAAAAGGATATATGGGAATAATAATAATGCAAATGTGTATAAGATTTGAGAATATAGCGAAAGAAAACAAAAAAAGTATGGAAGGCAAGAAGGAAGAAAGAGACGAGACATATTGAGTAGTAGCTATTGAATATGATTCGCATCGTTTTGATCCTTGAAACAAGACAAAACGTAGGTGTACAGCTTTTTGTTAATTTCTTCTGGTCATGTGCTTTCGTTTTCGATTTTCTGGGTCTTAATTTATAGAGGCGTTAATATGTCTGAAATAGCTAAATTTAGGTATAGATCTACATTTATGGGGGAAATCTCTATATGTATATCAGTATATGGACAAATATATATATCATTCGTAAAAGTTTGTATGTTTTAATTTTCAAAAAAAAAAAATGTGTATGTTTTTTTTTATTGACGTGGTCTTTCCCTCCAAATTCTCTTACGCTCCATAAATAGATATTAGATATGATTATGAAATAGCTAATGGAAACAAAATAAAGATTCTCGTACGCTCTAAAGCATATTATAGATAGTAAATATGATTGGAATAATATATGAATTTTATAATATTAATTGTATTAAGATTGATGAATAGAGAGAAAAAAAAAAGAGATAGAGAGAAATGCTATATTTACCCACTAAATATGGGTAATATAGATTCTATATTTTAGAAATCCAAAAATGGTTTTGGTAAATATAAGAATTTTATAATATTAAAAATTTCTTATATTTACTCTTATTTATTACCCATAATCATGCCCTAACATGTCACAAACTCGGAAACATTTTTCCCTCTCCAACTTTAATTTAGCCGAAGGTAATATACCTTATTTACTTTTTTTTTTTTTAGAAAATATACCTTATTTACAATATCTTTTCAGATACGAAACCAAATATTCAACAAATTTTTGTCTACAATATCTTTTCAGATTAATTTTGGGCTTACCAAAGTAATTTTTGGTTCTGATGCAGTTGACTTGCTTGGGGCAGTGATTAGGCCCCCGGCTTGGCCTTCTTTCAGGTTTCACTCATCAGAGGTGTTGAGAGCGTTAGGGGACATAAGCTGTTGGGACTTACTTTTGGAAGATGTCTCTTCAAACCAAGGTGCAATTAGGATTGCAAATAGCGCAACAATGGAGGATCGAACACAATCATATATTGCTTCGGGTTACCCTTTGTGGATGCAAGGACTTTTTGAATCAGAAANGACTTGAGACCGGAGTAAATGACGCTTTCCTTTTGTTTTGTTTGTGGAAGTTTGATTGTTGTTGATCCTTTGGGTAGAATGTCTGTATAGAAAGTATGAGAGATTGACTATGAACTTTTTTTGGTGAAAAGGTTGTATCTTGAGAACTTTGGC